ATTTTTTAAACAATTCCATTTTTGGTAAACCTAATTTTTTTACCTCCAACTAATAATAACTTTTTTAATGCCTAATATAATTAACTTGTTCTGTTATTAAACTCAAGGGGTTTTGAATCAATATGCTGCTTTAACTAATGAATTCTTCATTATGTACGGGTGTTTACTCTGCATGATGGCAGTTCACATTTGATGTTGCTGTCTTGTTTATCTTTGGTCACTTGAACAATCACCACCACAGAGAACTGCTCAAGGAAAACTACTACACACTAGACAAAGGTTACAATTCTTTCCCCACAAACCTACCTGGCTCTTCGTACAATAAATCGGTCTTGGTAAGCATAACAATGCCATGATCATGGATTAAGTTTGATTGTATCTTAATCTCTTCAGGAGGTAAACTAATCAAACTAAGTTACTCTCTTTTCTTTCAATGTTTAATATTCTCTTGCTCAATATCTTTTGTGGGGGGATGGGAATCTAAATTCATTTGTAAAGGCAAGGAGAAGAATAAGCTTAATTGTTAGTGAGATAATAAAGGAGAGAGAGGAAAAGAGTTTGGTGCAGAGAGATCTATTGGGCAGCCTACTGAACTTCAAGGATGAGAAGGGACAAACATTAACGCACAATCAAATCGTGGACAACATCATCGGGGTAATGTTTGCAGCTCAGGACACCACAGCCAGTCTCCTAACTTGGATGATCAAATACATTCACGATGACTCAAACACTCGAGAAGCTATCCAGGTCAGAATTTATAGCATGCATGGCCCTATTTTTGTGACAAAACTTAATTAGTACCAATCCCATGGAACGTTAATGGGAAATTAGCGTTAATATAGATTGAGCAGAAGGCCATTTTTGAGTCAAATGATGGAGGAAACCATATGCTGAGTTGGGCTCAGACTAGAAATATGCCCCTTACCAGCAGGGTAAGTAGAATTTGACAAATTCATGTGCGTACTTTTCGAGAAAATCTTGGCTTCTTATTCGTTTTTACCGACAAATTACAGTTCCACAAGTGCATAATAAACTTTTCTTTTTGTGTTTATAAAGAGATTTTCTATATATATATATAGTGATTTGCATGTACTGAGGTCACTTTAAATGAGAAGCTTTGTATGATATCTCAGGCTATAAAGGAGAGCTTGAGGATGGCAAGCATCATCTCTTTCACCTTTAGAGAAGCAGTCGAAGATGTTAAATATAAAGGTAGGCTTAGAATAATCTCATTCTTTATCCGACGGAAATCATATGAGAATCTGGTAAACTTTTATGAATTTCTGAGGGTATTTGCCTGTACCTAAAAAACTGAAGAAACAAGAAAAAACTGGCAAGAGTTTAATTACCATGCACGTACACGAATCATTGAAGGTTTGAAAACGACAGTAAAAGTGCTTAACACTGTTGGTGACTGACAGTACATATATAGATGACATTGCCTGGAGAGGGAAAGATTCCAACTCAATTATTCAGGAAAATTAAGTATAGAAACAAAATTAAAACATGGCACACGAGCCCCACTCTAATAAAGTCCTTTCCCAACCCCATTAGTACATGGGCACATTATTTCTCATGCATGGCATGCTAAAACTCTGGAGTAGTGAAATTAATTTTAATAAAAAAAATACTTTACCTTACAGAAAAAGAAAAAAAGAAACAAAACAGACGAAAAACTCTATAAAATAGTAAGTACGTTAACTTAGTTGAGTTTGCCGTGTACAACAGGATACTTAATCCCAAAGGGATGGAAAGTACTGCCTTTGTTCCGTAACATTCATCACAATCCTGATTTTTTCGTTGATCCACATAAATTCAATCCATCAAGATTTGAGGTATGAAAGACTTGAGAGATATAACCTAATTGCCATTTAATCCCTAGCTTTATCTCTTCTGTTCTCTTTCATAATATCCTGTTTGAATGTAAGAGAAAAACTAATTCATGAGCTTCTATTTGACTGCATGAAGCTTGGAATAAAACCCAACACATTCATGCCATTTGGCAATGGACTTCATACGTGCCCAGGAAATGAAGTTGCCAAGCTACAAATGCTCATTTTTATCCACCATCTTGTTAACAAGTTCAGGTAACGTAAATCAAATCATGAATTAAGAAGAGAACTGCACATTTGTACTTGGTTTAATTAATTAATAAAAAATTAATGCTGCAATTAATTAATATTATATATTGACAAGAGATGGTATTGATCCGGTGCAGGTGGGAAGTAGTAGGGTCCGGTGGGGTTCATTATGACCCATTTCCAATACCTCAGCGAGGACTTCCTGCCAAGTTTTGGAAAGAAACATGCACCCAAGGACACCCAAAAATTACTCCAAGGAAGGACATCAAAAGCGGGAGGAAAGCAAGCTGAAGTAGCCTTAAAAAGGCCCAATGTTTTAGCACTTTCAAAATCTTCACCAAATTTGTCTATGAAATATAAACTTGTGAATTTCTACATCATATTCTTCCCTTTATAAAATGGCATGGCACCCCTTTATCCACATATGTAGCGGTGCAAACTGGTCACCATCTTGTTACGTAAGTGAAAATTGTTATATATCCTGTAATTGTTACATATGTTCTAGCTAGATTGTTATATATATATATATATATATATCATGTAAATGTTTCTTTTCTTTGTTTTTATACCACTTTAGTTGTACGATGTTACCATCACACTGAAAATTACGTATCTTGCTAAACACTTTATAAATGAGTACTTAAGTTGACACCCAACTCGAAGGTTAAAAATCTCATTTTGATGCTTAAAAATTAAGAAAATAAATAAATAAAAATAAATTCTTCAAATCAAAAAATAAAAACTGACGGGACCTCCATGTCATCGAGGGGACAGCCGTACCCTCCTTCCTAACAGTCCACACTCCCACTCCTTTCCCTGCCTTAACTAACCATATTATGCATATTACTAGTGTGGCGATAACACCGCATAATCGCTTTTTAATAACTAAAAGTACTTTCAACGAAATAAAACTAGTTATTATAATATTTGGTTGAAATTGACGAAAAGGGCATAACACCAAAAAAAAAATAATAATAATTTATAACTCAAATAATAAAAATTATCCAGTTTCAATGTTTGCTTCCCTACATTTATGGTGTGTTTACTAATAAAAATTATCTTGTATTTACTTCACATCAATGAATTAAAAAAGTAAGTGAAACTCACATAAAATTAAGAATTGAATTCCTGATTTTGGAGGAATTCAATTCTTGGGTGTGAGATGATATTCTAATTCCTGGAGAACTAACCCATTAGGAATTTATTTTTTTTTACCTATTATATTCTCATACAATTTTAAAATTTTCCATCTACTTTAACCCAACACAAGGACATTTTGGTAATTATTACCACATCTACCTCAATTCTATATGGTTTAGTATAACTTCAATAGGAATTCGGAATCTAACTCTCCTCAATCTATATAGTTTAGTAAACAATTTCAATAGGAATCCGAAATCTAATTTTCCTCAATCTAACCTGTCATTAATTCAATTTCTCCTAATTTGACTCCGGATTAGTTGAGCATGAAACTGGGCCTTATTTGACATTAACTAATCAAGCCCAATCTGACTCAGTATAAAAACCCCTAAAACATTCATGTCCTTTACCAAATTTGATTTACAAAACAAACAGAGAGCTTCTAAGCTTGTGGGGAAAGGAAGATCAAATTCATCCAGAGAAACTTTCTTCGACTTTCTTACTTAACGCGTCGATAAATGGTAAGCTTCTCAATGCAATTTCCAGCTGAAAATTTTCAATCTTTTTTATTTTTCATGCAATATGTGTTCAATCTTATTTTGGGAATTGCATACTTAACGATGTGAATGAGTGTCTTGAGAGATTGATGCGAATTCGAAAAGAAAGATCTGGGAATTTGAAGTTAAGAAATTTTGGGTCTTGGGTATGGCTTTAACTGGTTTAGTTCTTTGAATTTTGGTATTGGGTGAAATAGGCAAGCCTTTACAGAGGGGCCTCTAGGAAAGAAAAACCCAGAGGGAGACATCATGGGTTACCTACACAAAAGAGACAAGAGATCAAGGAAGCGTTCGAGTTATTCGACACCGATGGCTCAGGTAATGCAAATTTGGGATTTTGATTAAGGTTATAAGGTTATTATACTGTTCAACTTTTGGTTTTTGGTTTTGACCATGTTGTTGTGTTGTGTTGTTTAGGCACCATTGATGCCAAGGAGCTCAATGTTGCCATGAGGTATGAATTCTTGTCTTTTTCACCGTGGATTAATTGTCTAAATGCTTACAACTGATTTTATATTTTGTTTATGACACAGGGCTCTCGGTTTCGAGATGACAGAAGAGGTAACTTAGATTATCCACCCATGTAAACTCGCTTGTTAAACTTGTTCGTGTGTGTTGTGTTTTGAATGTGAGTGTGTTTGAGAAACCACTCCCATAATATTTAGATATAATTCAGATGTGTGGTTTTGCCAAAATTCGACCTAGATATCTTTTGCCATTTGTTTTGCTTGGACTCTATCTTCTTGTCTTCCTGATAATTTGTTGATTTCAACACTTTAATCCTTCCATTCTTGTTTATGCTATCTAGAACTTCATCCTTAAATTTTTATTGCAAGTTCTTAAGTGAACATCGTCAGCACTTGAATTTCTTGAACTTATGTATTTGGTACATTGACTGAATTGCTAACATGTCGATCTATTGTTTCATTGCAGCAAATCACTCAAATGATTGCAGATGTTGACAAGGATGGCAGTGGTGCTATTGACTTTGATGAGTTTGTGCACATGATGACAGCCAAAATTGGGGAACGGGACACAAAGGAGGAGCTCATGAAAGCCTTCCATCTCATCGACCAAGATAACAATGTATTGGTTTGCTTTCTAAATATTACATTTCTTTCAGTTTATAGTACTTTGAATATTGGATTTGTTTCAATCTGTCAATACCTAATCCCATTTTTTTTTCCACATTTTAATTTAGGGAAAG